GTAACAATGCGGTAGCAAACGTTTTTATATTCCACCAAACGACTTTTCCACAGCCATTCCCAGTCAGCTATGGAATGGGATGGGATTCACCTGTTTGTTTGATTTATTTTTGATGATGGCACCGACTGGGCGAGTGGGATGTTATTTTGCTGTCATTGTTGCTAGTGGTGGTTGGTTGGGGTACAGCCGGTGCTGTTAATGTCTCCGCTGCTGCCATAGATTGGTGTTAGCCAACTCATTCGAGTTGTTGCTGTTGTCGTTTGGGTTACCACTGCCTTGTCCACAGGCCGACAAACTGTAGTGCCAAATGCCAAACCCATTACAGAAATAAATTCAAGTTGGTCTACATCGTCTCTTCTCCCTCTCACCGTCATTGGAGTCACAGCCAGTCACTGAGGCATTAATTATGCCTACCTTGCGATGGATCAAACAACGGTGTTGAAGTTTTCTGTGTTTGCTGATGCCGTTGCTTTTGTTGACTTTATTCATTATTGCCATTAGTTTTTTTTTTTGTGTTTTGTTCAGTTTTATTTGTTTTTGTTGCTTTTGTTTGATTTGCTTGATTTCATCCAGTTGCATACGCTGCGATTCCAAACCACTCACACATTGTTTGTTTTTGTTATTGTTGTTGTTTTTGCTGGCTTGCGTGCATGTGTAATATTTCTAAACAAGTTTCCATTTCAAATTTGGGTTCATTTTTTGTTTTTTTTAATTTTTTTTTTTTTTTTTTGGATTTTAGATTGGTTGTCCAATTTTGTAATTATATGCAATCGATTCTGTTGCGACATCTGTCGAGCAAAATAAAATACGACAAGATTGGTCACCGATTATGACGCTAATATTTCACTTGGCACACATCATTTGCCTGTGGGAAATGGAACGGGTTCAAAAAAAATCTGAATAATTTTTATTGCAAGATCCTACATAATCGAAATATGTTTATGGCCCAAACAAGGATGGCTTATAAAAAAAATTGATGCAAATTTGAAACAAAATGTGTATACCCTTCACCACTCTGTGGTACAGGGTATTATGTCTTTGTGCACATGTTTGTAACAGGCAAAAGAAAACGAGAACCATGCGTCCGTCCGGTTCCTTTTGAGAATATGCATAGAATCACTTTCTGAGCCGATTTACGCATGTCCGTCCGTCTGTCTGTTCGTCCATCTATGTATTTTGTGAACAAAGTACAGGTCGCATTTATGATCCGATTTGGATGAAATTTGGTCTTATTTGGCCCAAGGACGAACCCTATTGAAATTAAGAAAAATCGGTTCAGATTTAGATATAGCTCCCATATATATTTTCGTCCCTATATATCTTTCGATTTGCACGAAATTTGGCACAGCGTAATGATGGGTGTTAAGTTTCCTGAAAATCGGTTCAGATTTAGTTATAGCTCCCATATATATTATCGTCCGATTTAATGTTAATGGTCCACCAAAGTCCCTATATATCTTTCGATTTGCACGAAATTTGGCACAGCGTAATGAATTAGGCCTAGAATGATGTGTGTTAAGTTTCCTGAAAATCGGTTCAGATTTAGATATAGCCCTCATATATATTTTTGTCCGATTTAAGGTGAATTGTGTACCAAAGTCCCTATATATCTTTCGATTAGCACGAAATTTGGCATAGCGTACTGAATTATGTCTAGAATGATGTGTCTTAAGTTTCCTGAAAATTGGTCCAGATTTAGATATAGCTCCCATATATATTTTCGTCCGATTTAATTTAAATGGTCCACCAAAGTCCCTATATATTTCTCGATTTGCACGAAATTTAGCACAGCGTAATGAATTAGGCCTAGAATGATGTGTGTTAAGTTTCGTGATAATCGGTTCAGATTTAGATATAGCTCCCATATATATTTTCGTCCCATTTAATGTAAATGGTGCACTAAAGTCCCTATATATCTTTCGATTTGCACGAAATTTGGCACAGCTTTATGCGTTAGGTCTGGAATGATGTGTGTAAATTTTCGTGAAAATCGGTTCAGATTTACATATAGCTCCCATATATATATTCGTCCGATTAAATGTAAATGGAACACCAAAGTCCCTATATATATTTCGATTTGCACGAAATTTGGCACAACGTAGTGAATTAGGTCTAGAACGACGTGTGTAAAGTTTCCTGAAAATCGGTTCAGATTTAGATATAGCTCCCGTATATATTTTCGTCCGATTTAATGTAAATGGTGTACCAGAGTCCTTAATATCCTTCGATTTGCACGAAATTTGGCACAGCGTAATGAATTAGGTCTAGAACGATGTGTGTTAAGTTTCGTGAAAATCGGTTGAGATTTAGATATAGCTCCAATATATATTTCCGTCCGATTTAATGTAAATGGTCCACCAATGTCCCTATATATCTTTCGATTTGCACGAAATTTGGTACAGCGTAATGAATAAGGTCTACAATGATGTGTGCTAAGTTTCGTGAAAATCGGTTAAGATTTATATATAGCTCCCACATATATTTTCGTCCGATTTAATGTAAATGGTCCACCAAAGTCCCTATATATCTTTCGATTTGCACGAAATTTGGTACAGCGTAATGAATAAGGTCTACAATGATGTGTGTTATGTTTCGTGAAAATCGGTTGAGATTTAGATATAGCTCCCATATATATTTTCATCCGATTTAATGTAAATGGTGCAACAAAGTCCCTATATATCTTTCGATTTGCACGAAATTTGGCACAGCGTAATGAATTAGGTCTAGAACGATGTTTGTTAAGTTTCGTGAAAATCGGTTGAGATTTAAATATAGCTCCAATATATATTTTCGTCCGATTTAATGTAAATGGTCCACCAAAGTCCCTATATATCTTTCGATTTGCACGAAATTTGGTACAGCGTAATGAATAAGGTCTACAATGATGTGTGCTAAGTTTCGTGAAAATCGGTTAAGATTTAGATATAGCTCCCATATATATTTTCATCCGATTTAATGTAAATGGTGCACCAATGTCCCTATATATCTTTCGATTTGCACGAAATTTGGTACAGCGTAATGAATAAGTTCTACAATGATGTGTGCTAAGTTTCGTGAAAATCGGTTAAGATTTAGATATAGATATATAAATTTGGCACAGCGTAACGAATTAGGTATAGAATGATGTGTGTTAAGTTTCATGAAAATCGGTTCAGATTTAGATATAGCACCCATATATATTTTCGTCCGATTTAATGTAAAAGGTGCAACAAAGTCCCTATATATCCTCCGATTGGTACGAAATTTGGCACAGCGTAATGAATTAGGTCTAGAATGATGTGTGTTGAGTTTTCTGAAAATCGGTTCAGATTTAGATATAGCTCCCATGTATATTTTCGTCCGATTCAATGTAAATGGTGCATCAAAGTCCCTTAAAATCGTTCGATTAGCACGAAATTTGGTACAGCGTAATGAATTGCAGAATGACATGTTTCACCAAAGTGGTGAAGGGTATCATATAGTCGGCTCCGTCAGACTTTACTACTTTCCTTACTGGTTTATGCATAACAACGATGGATTTTTTATACTCTACACAACTATGTTATCAGGGTATTATAGCTTTGTGTAGCCCCAAGAGTTTGTAACGTCCTATACCCACCTTTAAGTATACCGATCGTCATATTTCGACTAGCTGAGTCGATTTAGACATGTGTGTCCGTCCGTCCGTCTGTCCATTATAATTTGTAAACACGATACAGGCCACAATTATGAACGAATATTCACGAAATTTTGCGTGAAGGATGGGTTCGGCCCAATGAAGACCCCTATTGTTTTTTGGTAAAGATCGGGTAATATTTAGGGGATGAAATGGACCAAATGGACTCTGACTTTTGTGTGGAAAATTACAAAAATTATATTCTACGGCGTATTTATTTGCTCCTGGAGAACATAGACCCGGGAAGTTAATAGTATATCCAAGAGGAGTAGTTGATCTTTAAATTGATACCAATTTTATTGTTGAATGTACTCAGATGTGGGAGTTACACTTAAATATTTACATGTGCTTACGTACCCACATATTATTTAGCAACCCATTACCACATTACTGGAGGATATATAGCTCGGATCGCTTTGAAATTTTCCATGAGAATCCAGGTATGGTCAGTGATACCGCCTATAATTTTCGTTGATGATCAGATAATAATTTTCGGATGAAGTGGGCCGAAAACGTAATTATACCCTACACAACTATGTTGTCAGGGTATTTTAGCTTTATTTTTGTCGGTTTTTCTGGTCGCTCTAGAGGAAGCAATTATGGTCCGAATATCGCGGACTTTTACATGGAGAATTGGATCGAGCCAAAGAATAAGCATGACTGCTTTGATAAAGATCGGTCAATATTTAGCGGGTAAAATATACCCTGACTCGGATGTGGGAGTTACACATAAATATTTACAGGTGCTTACGTACCCATATATTATTTAGCAACCAATTACCACACTAGAGGGCGGAAATATAGCGCTGATCGCTTTGAAATGTTCCAAGAGGTTCCAGTTATGGTCAAGTACAACGCTCATAATTTTCGGTGATGATCAGATTATAATTATGGGATGAAGTGGATCGAATACTTATTTTTTTTTGTGTTTTTTCGCGTCGATGCCAATAATAGGCCGAACATCACAACACAAACCACGATGAATGCGAATCTGTACAATTAATTAGAAGGACTGTACTGAAAAAATATATCAGTGTAAGGAAGAGGTGCTATTGACCTCTAATCGGGCTAGAGGGAGGAAATATCACGAAATATTGCCCAGGCTCGGAATAAACATCCGCAGAATGTTAGAGTTCCGAGGTAGTTGTGTAGGGTGTCGTATGGTCGGCCCTGTCCGACTACACTGCTCCGTACACTGGCTTTTAAGTGTTTTTTTATTGAAGCAGAACAGTTTTTTTTCGATGGTATTTAAAAAATATTTTTAAAAATTTTTTGATCATTTGAAAAAAAAATATTTTCATTCAATTAATTTAATTTTGAATTTTCTTTTTTTTTTTCATTGCAGTATGGCGTCTTTATGATTTTATTGTTGATAGCTGAAATTGTTGCCGGTGGCTTGGCAGCTTTCTACAAAGAAACGGTGAGTTTATATTTAAAAAAAAGTGTATTTAAAAAAATACCAAAATAATATTTCCTTTCTCTTCCTCTCAGGCCCGCAATGAAAGCAAAGCTTTCCTACAATCGACCATTACCAAATTCTATACCAGCTCGGAGCATACCGATGCCGTGACCCTGATGTGGAATCAAATGATGACAACATTCGGCTGCTGTGGTGTGGTGGACTATCGTGATTTCGAACAATCTCCCTCATGGTTGACCAGCAAGGGTAATCGTACCATTCCAGAGGCTTGCTGCCGATTGAAGGATATCAAAAATTTGATACCCGAAGATGATTTCTGTGTGACAAATCCCAGTGAAGCGAATAGTTTCTTCAAGAAGGTGAGTGAAGTGTAGTGTAGGATTACTACTCCACAACCCAAAATGGGTTGGGGGTGGCAGCGATTTGTCCTTTTTTATTTTTTATTAATCCATTCCTTTTTTCTTTCATTTGTTTAGGGTTGCTACGAAGCTTTCACCGACTGGATCATCACTCATCGTGAAATTATTATTGGCGTGTTGGCGGGTGTGGGCATTGTCCACCTTGTCACCATATTCTTGGCCTTCTGCCTATGCAAATCCTTTGCCAAATATCATGGCATGAGACTGTAAATTAGAAAACAAAAAACACCTAAAAATCTCTGCCTTTAATTTCTAAAATACTTTGATACTAAAATCTTTTTGTTTTTAATATTTTTTACATATTTTTTCAATTGTTTACCCAAAAAAACAAAATGTAAAAAGGACGATTTTACAAAGTCAATTAATAATTATTATTATTTAATGTACCTTTTTTTCTAATGAGCAAAGAAAAAGGTATTCCATTCCAAAAAAAAAAAAATCTTGACAAATTGAAATCAAAGAAGAAAACAAAATTGTTATTTATTTTAAGTAAAAAAAGAAATGTAATAATGAATTATTTTTTTTTTTTTCGCCCAATGTGTTTTGACAACATCAAAGGGGAAAATGACAAAAAACCCCACCCCTCCTCTTTAATAACCCATTATAATGCCAAGCTTAAAAAAGACAAGACAATATCTCTTTTTGTTTGGGATAATCACAATCCTGTCCTCCCCACCCAAAATAATAAAAGAGAATTCGTTTTAATTAATTTACCCTTTTTTCGTTAAGTTTATTATTATTATTTTTTGTTTATATATTTTATTTTATTGTATTTTTTTTGCATATATATTAGTCTTTAGTTCTATATTTTTTAATATATAAGACATTCGTTTTGTATTATATTGAAAAACAACAACAATTACGAGACAAAAAATTCCACTTAAAACATCACATTAATTTTAAAATTTGTTTTTAACATTTTTGTCATAAACAACATATGTGTACATAATATACATATGTATATATTACCTAAGTATAGTTTATTTTATAACTATTTTTTTTTTTTTTTTTTTGCTTAATGGATTTAATAAAAAATATTTCATATTAAATTTAATTTTTTTTTATATGTTAAAAAATTTATATTTTATGGATTAAATACATTTAATATTAATGAAAACAACATAAAAATGTTATATCAAATTTAAATATAATTTGTTACACAAAATTAAAATAAAAAAAATTACATATCTAAAATAAAATGTTTTAAGTGTTTAAATAAAAAGAAATTGTATTCAATTTTTTTCCCAACTAGAAACAATTCAAAATCTTTTTTATTGTTTTTTTAGTTTTGTTTATTTTTATTCCTTTTTCAAAAATTGTTGTTATAGTAAAAAAATCTGAATTAAAACAATATATTTTATTTATATTTTAAATAATAAAATATAAAATAAAACAAATAATCAAAACCAAAAAAAATCGATTAATTAAATTTTTTTTTTTGTAATTCTTTGAATTTTTAATAATAAAAATTCAAATTATATTAATACCCTACAGAACTATGTTGTTAGGCTTTTATAGCTTTGTGCAGCTCCAAGAGTTTGTAACGACGCGAAATATTGGTCCTAGACCCACCTTTAAGTATACCGATCGTCATATCTCGACTAGCTGATTCGATCTAGACATGTGTCCGTACGTCCGGTCACAAATTTGGTCACTTTAGGTTTTAGTTGATTTGACCCTCGGAATATTTAAGTATTTGGTCACATCCCCCTCACCGTCCAAAAAATATCTGACGTTCTTCATATAATAATGACATCTAGATGGCCTCCTTTACCACAGCCGGAATTTCTTGTAAAATTTCAAAGAAATCAGCGCAACATTTTGACCGTCTAGTGGGTTAATAATAATACTAAATTTTCTCGGGCCTATGTCCCAGTAAACAAAATTTGTCATTTTTTACGTAAAAGTCTGGCCCGCTAAATATAGACCGGTCTTCATCAAAACAGGTATGTTTATTCATTGACCAGAAGAATCCTGATTATGAGGACATAACTGTAACCAGAAAAAAACTAACAAAAAAATGTCATCCCCTTATCAACAATAGGGGTCTTCTTTGACCAGATCCCATCCCACATGCAAAATTTCGTGACGATTGGTCCGTAGCTGTATCATATTTACAAAGTATAATAGACGGACGGACGGCACACATGTACAGATCGAATCAGCTGACGATCCGTATACTTAAAGGTAAGACTATGGCCAATATTTCGCGGCGTTAAAAATTCTCAGAGCTGTGCAAAACTATAATACTCTGACCCAATATTAAAATTGTACCCAATTTAGTATTCATATCCAAAACTACTACTACCTACACAACCCTTAATTTCAACAGTAACCTTATTTCCAAATTTCAGTGTTCCAGCTCTATCGATTCACCTAAATACATATTTGGCACCATTTAGTACACATTAGTAAAAAATTTCCAAAACTTCCAACATACCCCAATCCTACACCCCAACAGTGATCCTAATTCCAAATATCAGGATTCCACCTCTATCTGTTCACCCAGAACCAAACGGTACCAAATATAGTACCATTTAGTACTTATCGTACACATTAGTACGAATTTCCAAAACTTCCTACACACTCCAATCTTACACCCCAACAATGATCCTAATTCCAAATTTCAGGATCCCAGCTTTATCGGATCGCCCAAAATCCAAACTGTACCGAATATAGTAAAACTTATTACTTATCGTACTCATTAGTACGAATTTCCAAAACTTCCTACATAACCCAATTCTACACCCCAATAATGATCATAATTCCAAATTTCTGGATCCCAGCTTTATCGGATCACCCAAAATCCAAATTGTACCAAATATTGTACCATTTAGTACTTATCGTACACATAAGTACAAAGTTCCAAAATTAACTACATATCTCAGATCCTAATTTCAGCATTCCCCCTGCATCCGTTTCTCCAAATTCAAATTGTACCAAATTTAGTACTGTTTAGTACTTTTCGTGTACATGAGTACACATGTCCAAAAACTCCTCCTTATATCGACCCTACTTCTCAACCATGATTCGAATTTCAAATTGCAAGCTTATAGCTCTTATATTCGTGCACTTGCTACGAAATTGTACCAAATTTCGTATGTTTTAGTACTTTTCGGAATTATAGTTCGAATTTCCTAAAACTGTTTGCCACATCTATTCTACACTCCATCTGTTCGGGTAAGAGTTCTTGCTCAACCGCTTCGCCAAATACAAATAGTACCCACATTAAGTACTTTTCGTGCCGTTCCAGAACGAATTTCCAAAAACCCAGCCATATCTGACACCTTTGGACCAAGGCAAGATTCTAGCTTCAGTCGTTTCGTGTGGACGT